CGTATTAAGACAAACTGTGAGTTTTCATGTCACGTGTGTATGCGATCGATCGCGCCTCTGCCTCCCCTGAGAGGCACCTTTCTAATCTCAAGGGGGTTTATCCCTATAGTGTCGCACTACCATCTGTTTTTTTTCTGTGATTATCAATAAAGAAAGCCACCGTTTTTGGATTCGAATCTCCAAATTTCGAAAATTTAACTTTCGGAGCTGTTATTACACCAATTTACTTGCCCATTCGACATCGATTAAAAAAGCATTAAATACTATAATAAAGGAATAATCGAGAAAAGAAATGATCAAACTTTTATTCTTGCCACCGTACCGAGTGGTCGTGTAAAGAAAAATCTGACATTCCTGAGGCACAACTTTACAATTCGGGAGGGGGGAGGAATCCTCTGGCCGTGTCATGCTTAAGTCGGCGACATCCACATTCACATAGTTGGCTGTCTACTACTTGGCAAAGTATAATAAGCACTGTAAGAACGACCACTTTCTCTCTCTCTCTACTGGGACAGTGCAAACTGTAATTACTGGTCCCATCACCTGCAGCCATGACAGAGGTGCAGTCAACCCGACCCGGTCTGTCCCACTCCGGCATTGCTGGGGTGGGGCAGCCTCCTTATACCGTAGGGGCAGACGGACAAAGAACCGATCCTCCGCTCTGTGCCACGAATACTGTTCGATACATTTCCCTACTTATAGTCGAGCTACACAACAATCATTTCTGAGGATCCGAAACCCACTTTCTGTTTTCGCCACACCTCCAAATTCGGTGAAGCTCGGTCGGTGGGGAGCATTTTTCTCGACAATCCAGCACCCGATTCTCTTCTAATATACAACTATTCCAAGAAGCTATTTGAATTTTTAAATTCCTCCAATATGTTGATAATTTAATACATGTTTTTAAAATAGAAAAAAAAAAACCAATAAATTATTATTATTATTTTTTTGTTTAATTTTACATAAATATTATTTCGAACAAAAAAAGAATAACTTATATTCTGTATTTTTGCTAGGATTTTAAATAATGGAATTTTGTTTTGAAAGATAATTTTGTTTAATTATTGATTGACAGAATAATCTGTTTTAAAATACAAGTATGGATAGCACAAAACTGGTTCTTGCTTCATTGCACCTTCGAATTCCAAAAGTGTCCACCGAAATGATCTAAGTTAATCTTAACTGGCTTAGTAACAGATTCGTTAAAGTTTTTATCTCGAATTAATTATGAAAAAATACTTTTAAACTGTATTAATAATATTTATTCCTTAAAATTCTGAATTTATTCGCTAAAGAAGAGTAATGCTTTCGATCGTCGTAATTTCAAGTTTATTGTATAAAGTTTCAATTTATCATCAGAATTAACTTTAAATAATTTCCCCATCATCAATATAGAAAAGATTAAAGTGGAAAAAAAAAATCATTTAACATCAGTGGATCTGGTTCATATCCTTTTCTCGGAGAGTACAAAAGAATTTCCGTAATCGATTTTCTTAATACTTTTAAAAGAAGAGGACTAATTAAAAAGATTGCTTTGAGGACTAGCCAAGAAATTAATCGCGTTTTCTATCGTGAAGTTATAGTTATCTGTGCGAGTTATTCAGTCAACTGCTTCTGGATACTTGGCAAGATATTTACAAGGTCGTTGAACTTCTAGAAGGAATGAAGCTGTCAAAGATAAAAGAGCGTTTCTCCGTGACTAGGAATTAGGGTTAGAAAAGGATATTTCGATGGCTGACCTCTTTTTTCACCATTTTCCATTTCATTTGTTACCTCTACATGAGGCCTTGACGTTCCTTTAACTACGAAGGGGCCTGCAAAGCTTCCATTCTGTAGGTTGTCTTATGTGACGAAATTCATTATCCTTCCGTTCAAAAATCAGCAGAGTAATTGAAAATTATACACGGTTTAAAGTATAGAGTATTGTTTCAATTTCGTCTAGAAATTTTGATTCCGAGAAGCGGTTCTACTCGCAGCCATCTTGGAATCTCCTTTCGAATGTCGATCGACTTAAGATACGCTAACGGTGATGACGGAGAGTGAGATGTCTTGATTAGAATATCATTTATGATCCTCCTTAATCTGTCCTTCATACTTTTATAAAGAGGGGCGCGGAATTCGGAAGGCTAACTTAGCTATTTACTATTAAACATTTAATCTAAACAAAAAAGTATATAATAAATTCCGAATCATCCTCGAGTGACGTCAATTGAATATAATTTCGCGCTTGCGGACTTACACAATCTTTACATATCTGATTCTGTTGACGAGGTCATTAGTAGTGTAAACTGCATCAGAAGAAATATATGTACTGGTGCTTGAGTAAACAGTTCCACCCGCTTTAAAAGCTTTCAAATAGTGCTCTTGTATTTAGAGAAAGATTTGCCCTCTCTCAAGATTCTCTATTTGCTTCCATTTCTATTCCGTTGTCACTAATTGAGAAAGCAAACACTGCGACGTTGCGGGATCACTATACGACTTATTATTGCTGTTATCCAGTGCGCATGTTCTGCATTCTATTGTTCGTTCCCCGACAGGAGCAGGCCATCGATACAAAAGATGCAACAATGTTTGGTGATCATCTTTTGTGGACCATCTTGTCAGAGATTATCTGTTCACCGAACGAGGCCTTCTATTCTTTCTCTGGTTCCGAACTATAGCTACCGAGGAGGACTTTCCTTTGTCGAGTTTGCTGGTCAACGTGTTTTGCTTCTTATAAACGACTTTTCTTTTTGAAAGTTTCTTAAATTGCAACTCGACATTTATGCTTCATTTATGCCGTTCACGTAAACATATGTCGAGTTTTCCTATTTTAATCTGAGTAGATTGCTATTTTAAGATAGAAAGTTAGCATTCTACGTATTGGAAGAAATTTAACATCGATTTCTTAAACTATAGAGAGAGAGCTGAGTTGTTTAGATCGTTGGGCAAAAATGATTTCGAAGTATTATTATTCGCGATACATGCGCATGTAACTCGGAAGGGACAGATTAATTTAAAAGATATGGAAACTCTACGCGCCCTGTACGCGTTGTTTTTAAAGGAAACCACTCCCGACCGAAGGGGGAGGGAAGAACATAATTAGTTAATTAGCATTCGCAACCCCGGAGGGGTGGCGCACGGGAGCGCGTGCCACACCCTAGTCCTTCCCTTTTTTTTATCAGGTGTCTGCACTTGCCCCGCAGTTCATATATTACGTGAACTTTTACCTTATACTAACCTTTACCCGTTTGGATTGTCGCCTTTTTAGCGGAAGCAGATGGATTGTTATAGTTTCGGATTTCTTCTGTCGTTCGAATTAGTAGAAGGATAATTTCGACATTGGCGAATTAGGAGATTTCAGTATATATGTTTGTGCAGCTCGGTCATCCATCAGAGAATATCTTCATCTTTCAAAGTAACAAATCCCACACGATTCAGCCCGACTGATTGTCCGTCGATGGTGATCGTGTCAACCATCGGAGAGACTCATTCGTCACATCTAGACTTTCTTGCGATAAACGCTCTACAGATGACATGTCAGATTATTCTCTTCTCCACATAAATCTGTGTCATCAATAAGCTCGTTTCGGCTCCACTTTTTCTCTTCAAATAAATTTAACCTTTATTGTTAACAATGGAATAAAATATTTTCTACATCTTAAATCTGTATAGTGGTTTTTTACAACCCCAAAATTTTCGATTACATCTATAAGTTTCTTGACATATTTAACCGTATCGCATCTTCAAGATTTTACAATTTTTTCTTGAAATTTATCTTCCACAAAGTCTGATAGTCGAATTCGTTTTAACCGTGTATTTTCTTGCACATGGTGTACGGCACTGTTCAGTCGTATTTCAAAATATGTACTAGCTTAATTGCTGTCGGAGTTGTTCCTACAAGTCGCGCAACTACCAGCGCGTTATCAGCATTCGAAATGAACCCGTCCACCCAGTAAAAACAGAGAGGAGGGTAAACTTCCCACCCCGTTTTATTCTTAAAACATGTGTACAAGGCGCTTGTTTTTCTTAGCTTTTAAAAAGACGAGAATCAAACATTAGAAACTCGAGCTCGCATAAGTATTACTTCATTGACCGGTGGGTGGGCCTTTTCCTCTTGGAGGGTCTGATGACAAAGATGAGAAGAGGTTTTTCTCTCGATCACGACTTGGTTCTTTTGATTTATAGGATTATATCGTCACTTCTGATATACAAATGTGGAATGCGCATCGAAATTTTTTACATGAAAAGATAATCTTTCCCATCAACTTTCCCTTTTTAAAAATATTTAACATCTAATTTTTACCACCGAAAAAAAATGCTTTATTTACTATATAATCCTAGTTTTATTAGAAGAAAAATGTTTAGTTTTTAACCCGGATTGTCTTTTCTCTAATACTTGAGTAAATATAAAATTCTTTGATAGATAAGTAGAATTATTTATATTCTCATGTCGGTCAATTGTGATCGACGGACGTGCCGAAGAGGCCCACACGGTCGAGGAATTCTGTGCTATTTCGGACTGCATGTGAGACCTCTTAATAACAGTTTTGAATACAGAAATTTGTCGGTTGTAAGTTTTTTCATTTCGACCTTTGAACTTCTTTGGTTCGTTAGTAAAATACCTGTTCGGGCCTCCTATTGTTGGTCCTGTGTGGGAACAATTCTTTACGAATGAAGGAAATTTAACGACCCACTTCGAATCTTTTTTTTTTTTCTTTTAAATTAAATTTTTAATTTAAAAATTATGAAAATTCCGAAAGGCTATTGATTATTTAAAATATACTTTCTTAAATAGTAACATCTGTGATGAAATCATATAACGTAATATATTTTGTTTTGAAAGATTGAAAATGTATATTGCAAAAGATGAAAATTTATAAATTTATTCTTAGCATCCAAGATTTATATCTTTTAATTCTTGAAATCAGAAATTCTAAGAATTTGAAACATGATTCTTTGAACGTCTTTTTCATAGAACCATCAGATAAAATCAGCTTTAAACTTTAATTATTTACTGATTTTGTATGATTGTAGAATCTAATTTCACATAAATGCAAACGAATTTATTCGAAATTAAATTCTATAATCGATTCATACATATGAGACTTGAAGGATTTCAAACACCCTTTTGATGTTAGTAGCTCTTTAACAGTTTAAACTGAACACATCATTCTCTTTTTTGAACTTTCTCCATTTCAAGAATTGAAGAAGGAAAGTTATAACTGAATTTAAATGGTTTTAATCTTTTAATTATTTGAAAAGAAAGGAAACATTTTTATATTGTCGTATCGTCTAAACATCGAGATTTTTATGAGGAGTTTAACGATGTTGCGAATGTATTCGTTATTGGAAATATGAGATTAAAATCACTATCAACCCTTATCAGTTGTATTTAAGTAAAAGAAAGAAAGATTTAAAATTTTCCGCTTTCGTTGTACAGAATATATCGGTGTTTTACGACCTTATAATTAGTCGCTTGCTTCTAAAAGGGAATTTTGGACAGAAGGCAGCCATATAAATTGATTTGTTGCAAAGAGGCGAGAGGATTGTGGCCAGCTAATGGACGTCCGGGAGCAGCAGCAGAGCACAGATAACGGTGCACCCGAACACCCTAATGGATGCGACGATTAGGAACCGTACTACGTCGCGTGATACTAACAGCGTTCCGTCTGTCGATCACTGTTATTTAGTAGATCCGCTGAGACACCTGGTGGCCAAGACTCTACATCGACCAAATTGTTTTCTCCGATCGCAACCAGTGCGGATTCTTGATGAATGTTTTGCGTGTTCTCTCTCACCCGAGGACCTTCTCCCTTTCCTACCCCCATTTCTTTCTAAGAAAGTAAATTACCTTCTTGTCTCTTCATTCGTGGCTCTACTTTACTACCTGCTTGAAAATCACAAGTATTCTTTTACCGAGAACAATATTTGCAATTTTTTCTCTTCTCCCTTTTGCAGTCCCTCAGTTTACAATGGGTTCCGAAAGAATAGAAATGCCCTGAGTAGAAAATTTTTCTTTAATATAACCACGTTCTAAATGACGTTTATAAAACGTGTTTCTCTGTTTTGCAAATAAAAGTATAAAAGCCTTACCTTTAGGCCAATTAAAATAATAATAATAGCAAATTAGTGTGTATAATTTATGCATTATTAAACAATTCCAATTATAATGATAAAGTCTTCCGACTAGAAAACGAATTTATAGGCAAAATAATTTAAATATTTTCAAAATTTTAGGAATTATTTCTATGGTGAGGGGGTTTCAATTGCTAGAAGATAACATTTTTTTAACTTGACCATCGGATGAACTTGTGGTGTAGCTGAATATCCGGTTAGTAACCTTGCGTTGTTTTTATATCAACATTCCACGTATAGCTTTAATAATAGAAAATCAGATGTTCAGAAATGTAATCAGATGTTCGGATGCCTTCATTGAGAACTTCGTTTTTAACCATTTCTATAAATATTTCTGTATTATTCAAAGTATTGAGATGTGAAAGAAGAATGCTAAGTGTGTAGAGAGTTCTGGAAATTTATCAAAGATGAAACGTAATAACAATGTTACAAGAAGAAGCTTACTTATAAATGGATGAAGAGGAACGCTTAAATAGTTTATAAATAAAATTCTAATTACTGGAAAAAGAGAATTAAATCAGTAACACCCTAAGAAGAAAACCTGATAAAAAGGCGGATCGGTTTATCAAGATATTTACGCAGAATTTCTTTTATCTATCTCTAAACAGACACAGGAAATACCTAAATATCGGCCCTTTTGAAATTTTTCTATTGACGTCAGCACCAAAATGACCCGTACATCCTTAGACCTCTTATAATTCCCAGAGCGGGAGGACATTCAACTTATGAAGAGTAATGCCGAATTGAAGAATTTTCCGATCACTGACCTTTTCTTCAAAAATCGATTGTTTCCTAAGAAAAGGAAAATGTTTTAATTGTCTATTGTTTGAGAATGTATCCGATAATTATCGGTTTGATTGCATACCTTCCCGTGGAAGGGGGAGAATACGTCTGGATGGCCTGCAATGCGAGAGGCACTGGATTTGGACTATTTCTGTAACAATTACGATTCTTTGTATTTGGAAGTTTTAGAACGAACAACTGGTTTCTTACACTAAATCATACTTTTCACATTATATTATCTGCAATGTAAGCTACGAGGCAAAATCCGGTCGACTCTTAATTACGATCACGATTTTAAAAGTAGATTAAGGTCACAATTTATATTAGGACACGAACCGCACTTCTTCATTGTTTTCTTTCCGATCTGTCTTAAGAAAATCAAAAGTAATATTTTAATTAATTTCTAAAAGTAGATTTTCTTCGAAAAGTAACAAAAATTTCATTGCCTCTAAATTATTGCCTACAAAATCTGCAGGCAACAATTTGAAGTCTTTATTTAATTGGGGATTGTTTCCCGAGAAAGATTTCGAAAGGTACGAATTAATGGGATAAGTATAATTTACTAAACTTTTTATAGAACACCTTAGAAATTCTCGGAAGAGAGAAAAAGTCTGAAGAGGAAAAAAGCTTCACGGTCGGCAGTTGTGGTCGGAAGAACAGAAAATAATTCCGAGAAGACGACATGGTCCTTTTAACGATTTGTTTAACTTAAGCTGTAAAAGTTTTCTTCCAAAATAATAGTAATAAACATATCCGGTGCGACACATAAACTAAAAATAAAAATCTTTCTTTTCGGATTCGGATTGGATTCTCTTTTACGGATGCTTCATTCATTTTCCATATAATTGATGTAAATACGTTGCTTCTTTTCTTTCGTAAGAATTACAAACGTAAAATTCTTCGAATCTAAGTATTTTATTAAATTCCAACGTTATCTTTCGAGGAAAAGAATTCAACAATGTTCATTGAACATCCCGAAATGGACAAAATTTAGTGTAAAATCTATTTATTGGCGTAACTTGAGAATCAATTACATGTTTTTAAAAGATGTTAACAGCAAAATTTTGAACTAAAACTTCTTTTCGGATGGATAACTAAAGATTATGAAAGAAAGTATAATAGGTAGGCCTAATACACATATATACAGAAAGTCCGCTTAAAGGATTGGTGCATTTAGTAACTTACACCGTCGATATTTGAATGCAAAGGGTCGTGCCATTTAAGCCGCATTGTGATCTTTTAATCGGATTTACTTCTATGAGAAAACTAGACGGAACTAAAAATAGAGTAAAGGGTCTCGGTTGTGGTAGAGTCGATTTTGGTTAAAAGCAATGAAAAGAATGTTGATTTAAAACTGCTTTTAATTAGGATGACGAGGAGTCTGAAGGGGCTTTTAATTTGTTACTTAGATGCTAATTGTTATCTTTTCGATAAAGAACAGATATGTCTAATCAATCAGATACAAATCTCGTCTGCGGTTTAAAACGATCTCATCGATTATAGCATCTTTTAATTATAATCCCAGTTATACAAGGCCCTTTGATTATATTTCCATCTCGAAGCGGATGAATCAAATTTCATTTTACTCGGAACATTTTATTAATTGTCCGCCAAATTCAAGAATATTTTAGCGAATCCTGGTATAAAAATCAATACGCGATGGCTCGATATAGGTTTGTTCTCATTACAAGATACCTTTTGATATGCATGTTTATAAAGATAGAAGCGTAAATTTGCCAAAAATTTCCCATTTTTTTAAAAAAGAAAGAGTCGAAATAAACGTTTTAACGGCGATAGGATGTTTAGAAAGTTTACTGATGAAGATACATCTGTACTTCAAGGCTGTTCATTGAAAATCGAAGGTTTTCAACAAATTTTCAGAGAATTTTTTTACGATTTCGATAATATGATAAATTCAAGATTTACAGAAAATTATACATCATTTATATTGAATTAATCCGATAATCTTGTTAGATTAGAAAACGCGAAATATGCTAATAAAGCGGAAAAATTTTACTAGAATTTCACGATTTCTGAACATGTAAATCGAAATTTTTGAATATATTTTGATGATATTGTCAGACGAAAGTAAGATTGACTGTATTTTCCCCTTTAGTTACGAAATACGACTGAGGTATTAAACAATATAGATTGAAACAGATCGTTACTCAAGATAAATCTACGGAGAATTTCAATACTAGAAGAAATGTCTGAACCAGGAGGGTAGCAAACGATAATTAAACTGGCCTGTCCGAACTGTCGCTTCAAATTCTGACCCAATCAGAGAAGTTCTTCCCCCATCCATCAAATGACAGGGAGGGTAGAGAGTGTTCAATTAGTTATCAGACTGGTTATTTTCTGTAGGGTGATGTAAAAACCTCTATTGTAGCAGAATTCTTATCGCTTAGCGACCACTTTTGATTAGTAGTTGGGGATGTAGCATCTTGTTTTATCCCCCGTCGTCGCACTCTGACTGGAGACAATTGAGCAGAACTTTTACTAGACTCCCCCCTTCCTCGGGAGTTGTAATGTCGGTAATCAGGGACGTAATTTCTTCTTTTTTTCTTTTATTCTCTTTTGTTTTTCTCTAGTATAATTCCAGTACAGAGACTAGTCTTCTTCCTCCGTCGTATTTTGCTTTTGCTCAGGAATGCACTTTTTAAAATGCAACTTTATTAATTTTAATTGGTGCGTTTGCTTTTCAGAAACATTCGGATGAAATTCGGTTTTTTTAAGTCTATATTTTCTGTGTTTTTTTTCATCTTTCAATCATCTAAATTGGCATATAAAAATTTTAAATTAGTTTAATGGCATTTTTCATACCATGCGTGCGTACAGATGTATGCGTGCTTATCATCGACTTGTAGACGAAACAAAGTGTAATTCGATGTATTTCTGCGTATGTTTTCTCAACTTTTACATGCCATTCAGTTTGATTTTTTTCACATCAATTTAAAAGAAATGAGGCGCAAGATCATGTTAGGGTCGGTGTCGACCTTTTGCACCCGACAACGATCATGCGCAATCCATCCACCTACGGATATTCGCCATTGTCCCAGAGAGAGAGAGCGTCTGCACATTAGTAAAGTAATTCGCAACTGCACGATAATGGTCAACGGATGAACGCATGCGCAACGGTGCATTCTCACTAATGTCTTCGCTTCCCCTCGTGATTGCTACTTTGATCTGACCAGGTATCAACCCATCCTTCATCGTGCTTTCTGGGAGTCTCGATTCCTCCGTTTTTATCTCTAACTAAAATCTCACAAAAAAATTTCTGCAAAACTTCGTTTTATGTTCTCAATGAATGGTTTGAAAAAGCTACGCATTCCGTTCGGTCTGCATTTGTACTTTAATAATCAGTACCAGGGTTCTTGGCCATACCTTTATTACTTTCAAGAATGTACTTTAAAAAGCTAAAACGACGACTTCTCTTCTCATCATCGTTTTTGACTAAAAAATTGCACAATTCTTATCTCGTCGTTACTATTAAGTATAGGATATCCATTAGGTGCAAACGTTCAGTTGTAATGAAGGAAAAGAACTTTCAAGGGACTCCATATTGTTTAGAAATGGAAAAGAACTTTAATATTATTTTTCTAGATGACTGACATTAGAACATAATCGATCTTGTTTCATTGGTACAATAGTTATAATTATTTTAAAATAATAAAATAGATTGAAAGTAATGACACGATTTCGATTTTCTCTTCTTGTAAATCTCATTATGAAAACGCAACTGAAAAAGTCGATTAGAAAAATATCAAAATTATTTTTCTTTTTTCTCGTTGATTTATCGCTTCGATAGTCCGAAAGTAACTGTATTTATATTTCATTTTTAACTTATAATAATTAAATATGATTTTAAATTGTGCCATGGTTTTATTAATTGAAATAACAACTTAACCCCGTCTAATTATTTGGAAAAACAGTTTTTACAGGCGAAGAATTCGCATTTTTTTTAAAAGCGAAGAGTACAGAATTAAATAACATAATACTAAAAATGTACAAGAAATATTTAAAATTGTATAATTATTTTGTTTTTTTTTTTCGTAATTTTCTATATAAGTCTGTGAATCTTTAGATTAATTTTGATCAAACTCTACGCGAAACTTCATATTGGAATTATGTCGAAAATTTGAAATCTCCATCTTAATTTTCTAGATATTCGTGGAATGTATACGGATAACGTACGGACGAAGCACAAATATCGACTTGTTTTTTTAAAACTTAATAAAAGAAGAAGAAAAAAAAAACGAAAGAAATCTAAACTAGATTTAATTTGGTTTTGCCAATTAGCATATTTTTTAGAAATTGAAACTTTAATTTTATTGAATAAGAGATGCACGAATGAGATTCCGATTTAAAAAGACCTTATCAGACTATTAAGGTTTCTTCGATGTGTTGAAAATTTTAGAAAGTGGCACAATGATAAACGATAATTTATTTATTAAATAAACACGTGAAAGTCGTTTATCAATGTTCAAGATAAGAAATTGCAATTCCACTCCCTCTTGATACTTACACTTTATCCTTTCTGGATTATTTTAAATCAGTTAAAAAAAATAGACAGTTAAATATTTAGAATTGTTACGTAGATAATTTCGTTATACATATATTAAAAAAAAACAAAAATAAAATAAATCGTTGTATTTTAAAAACAATTTTTAATAATTAAAAATAACCGAAATGCGTTTGATGACGTACCCTTTAAATATTTTCTGGAACCTCTTCCACTTCAATCGTTTTACGATCGCCATTTTGAGATTGACATCTTCAAGTATCACGTGATCATAGGCCGTTCATGTGCAGCACAAGTGAGCGTGGGAATGCCCTATTGGTATTCAGTCGGTGTCACCAACAGTGGGTTTATGGACGAAGTTGGGTCTTGTGCCGGTTTGCAAATGAAAGATAAAATGTTTGTTATAAATAAAGCGAATCACTTTGTTTGTATTGTGTAAACATTGCGTCGTTAGAGAAAGAATCTGTCGTTCATTTCCATTAAGAAATCACAATTACGGTTTTTCTTTTAAATTTCAACTAATTCGAAGTTGTACAATAACTAAGGATGCCCGTCAAAAAGAGAACTTCTGTTAAATATTTGCTGTAAAAGTTACAAATTAGGCCACAATGCATAAGAATCCTTGCCAATTCCGATACATTGGAGCTATGATTTATGATACATACATAACTCCAAGTCATTTATCTAAAGAGTCGATGCGTGTTTTGCCTTCTCCTTTCTCTCCTGCTGGACAACATCCTTCCGATAGAATGGAATCTTGCGGACTAGTGCCTCTTGTCCCCTTTAAATAGTTTAAACAAAA